TGTGGGCTTTAGAAACCGCACCAATTGAATTTTGTAGGGATGGAACCGTAAGTCTTTGCTTAAAATCCGTTGCACACTTGAGCGATGAATATTCAGGGCCTGGCCATGTTTTCGAATTGAGCGCCTCGGATGTTCAGTCGCAGCACATCGCACAATCTCAATATTCTCTGGCGTTCTGATGGACCTCTGTTGACCGAGACGCTTCTGATTTGCCACTGTACCACTTTGTCTGAATCTTTTAACCCACGATTTCAATAAATTGTTTGACGGAGCATCACGTAAACGCCGAATATTGTAACGTACGAATCGTTCGATTTAAAGAACGCTTCGACCATAAACGCTTGTTGCTCTTTTGACCACTGCTCCATGTTGACTAATAATCCGCACGCAGCCGCCACACATTGCCAGCGCTAACCCCCCCACAAATATTAAGTTGGATGTACAAGGCGCGTTTAAATAGTGAAATTTACTATGAGCCACCCTGTAAATATATATATATATATATATATATATATATATATATATATATATAAATATATATATATATATATATATATATATATATATATATATATATATATATATATATATATATATATATATATATATATATATATATATATATATATATATATATATATATATATATATATATATATATATATATATATATATATATATATATATATATATATATATATATATATATATATATATATATATATATATATATATATATATATATATATATATATATATATATAATATACCATAATCAAATAGCAGTGTTCAATTAATTATCTCTAATGTATTAATAATAATATAAATTACTCAATTATTAACGAAGAAAGTCCAAATCCATCATATAATCCTTAAGTCTCTTTTTTAAGGTTTCACATGTAGGCTTCATAAAGCTATTACGTAACTCAGTTTCGCAACCTCATAAGAGAAGGATCTCTTAAATAATGCTGTAGTACCAGCTAAGGTTGCCGCTGTGAAGTTTTATTGCTATGGCTTCGATAACCCTTAGGACACATTAACACCGTTATTGAAAGATGTCGTGCCCTATTCCGACGACAATGTTCCAACAAAGGCAAGCCCTATGATAAAATATTCACCTTACCTCTGCGATAAATTGGAAACCCATTTCGTCAATGATTCATCGCGCTCCGACATTGCTAAATATTTACAACACTACTGCTACTCATTAATGTTAAAATGAAATAATTCCCAATAGGACCTCGTTATCCAATTTTCTCTCCCACGCGCAAGGACCGCCATCATCGCAAGAAACTCATAATTTTTGGATGATCGACCGAGATTATTTTAATTAAACCTCGAACGCGTTTGATTAAGCTTTAAATTGAGGTTTCGGCAAAGTTCCGGATAGAATCGACAGTATACCTACCGTCCGAATCTGTTTACTTTAAAGATGAGACACGCTTAGAGTCCCCTATTCCAAAGCAGTTTCGATGAGTTTCAACGTTAATTAATTAAAAAAAAAGGTAGATGTAACCAAAAAATACCTCAACTGTAAGGCGTGACCTCCTTTTCAATTCAATTTATTTTTATTTTTCAGTCATCTTTTGTATTATATAACTTCCATCTATACAAGGCGCTCAGTTTTTTTATAAACAACTAATCTCTCTGCATATTAATTCAGATTTAATAATCTACAACATAACGGTAGGTTTTGGCATTATTTGTTGATTGGTCGCTTTTCAAAAGTTATCATGAAACTCGCTGATTATTATAACATACTTCGGTCGACATTTCGTGCTTAAAGGATAAGTGTCACAAAATAAAGTAATAAAAATAATTTTCTGATACCACACACCTGACCGCTACAAACCATATTTCTTTTTAAATAAAGTGTTTTGAGGAAACTGAATTACTATATTATATACAAAAAGAGCTACGCAAATTCAGAGATGTATTACGTTAAGGCAAAAATTATAAAAATAACTCCCAAAAACAAAAAAAGTTAAAAAATACTTTTCCACTTGGCTCTTCAATGGTTACAAGTATCGAGAGCTTACAACAGTGTACTGCAAATTATAATAAGTGTTGGAACAACGAAGATATGCAATAACTTATAGAAACACTATGAATTAAAAAGCCTTTTAACTTTAAAATAAATATTACTTACCATGATAAATATATATTGTATTCTATATTTTTCGTATTATAATAGGGGCTTGTATATATTTCTACTGAACCAATGTCTGGAACAAAAAAAAAACACTACAGTAAAACGAATAAAATAGAATGAATAAATTGAACATCTTTTATGTCCCAATGACATCTTATGATGTCAGCCTTTAAATTTGTGATTCAACTAAAAACCTGGACTTGTTTATTATTATTAACTTCTTTAATATATCACAAGTTTGTATATGTTGAGTTTGGGCTTCTTTTAAACAATAGATACTTCTAGATATTATACACGATTATCTATTTAGAGCAATTCAGTATAATACCTGTTTTGTATATCCATCGGAGAAGATTTGTTTCTTGGTATCTGACACCAACAGGATGTTTATCAAATCAACTTCAGGCTGACTTAACACTGATATAATATCTTCCCTTTTAAATTAAAATATTTACAAATTTTATACAATTACAATATTTACAAAACATTTAAAGTATTAAGTATTTTTTACCTCTCTCTAGAGAAAGAGGTGAGTTTATTTCTAAAGACATATCTGGTATGGATGAACTCAAGACACTGTTATACTAAGATTCGACAATATCAGATGAATAATTCCGACATTATTTCAGTCACTATCAGGTTTGTTATCAGTTTTAAAATTTAAAAGTTACTTTTTTCTCTACAATACTATGCAAGAATTAAATGCCACCAATATATTCGATAAACACAGCCCGAAATGCTCAGATATGTTACCCAGACATAATATCCTGTTTTAAAATCACACTGTTACCTTTAGAACTACCTTCCTTCCCCTTAAATGAATTTAAATTTACTAAATCATTTAGGTTTTCTGACAACATTAGAAGAAAGGACTAAATTTTTCTGCCATACATTAACTCTGCTGGTTAAAGACCACATTCACAAAAGTAACAAAAGACAGTCAAAATACTGATTTTGTTCTCTACATATAGGAAACGTTTCAGATTGAGAAAGCAAATACAACGCAGACTATTTCGAGACTTAGTCAAATGGTGACGGTGGTGAATTTCTTGGATCCATTACTGTCAATCACCATGTTAATCTTGTAGATTTCAGGGAATGTTGAGTCTACGTTCATTTAAACAATAGATACTTCTAGATATTACAATTTTAACTTTCACACAATCTTCTTCTTCGTGTGGATTTTACACATTTTCAAATATCGAGAATCGAACATTTGTAGTTCAGCTGTAGCGTAAATCACATCAATACGGAAATGATACTGGCATCAGATTTATAAAATAGTAATAAAAACAGATTAGGGACGCCGGCGTAGTCACAATTATTCATTATTCAGGTCAGCAATACCCTTGATAATCCTTTATGGCTGAGTGTTCCTGCTAATGGTCCGAGTTTAAAAATTCAAATAAATAATTGCATCGGTCTGCAGAAAATAAGGGCTCTGTTTTAAATATACTCGAAAATTTAAGTGTGTTTTACGAGAGTCGTTCGTAAGGCATATCAGAGTGAAATTTCTAATAGTTTTTTACTCTTTGTTAATCACTATATATACTATTAGAAGTGAATATTGAACAAAATATACAAAAAGCATATTTGAACAAAATTATTATTGAGAAAAATTCAACTACCCCTAACATTAAGTCAATAATAAGTTTTTTATTCTGTTATTGTTTCTTTCTATTCTCTTTTCATTGATCCAATAAAAATTTTAAATTATCATTTATTTCAGATCTCCTACCAGAACAATATATCATAGTTTTTGTTATGGGTGTAAAGTGGTGCATATGTGGGTTTTATTATTTTATTTTTCTCTCAGTACCAAACCTAATATTTGTACTTTTGTTGTTTCAATTTATAATGCATATGGTTTTTGTTACTTTCAAAGCATTGTATACTGCTTTTTCAATATTAATATCAATGTTATCTAAAATATTTTTCAAGCTTCAATACTCATACCTTCATACATTCATATCCTCCAAAAACTAAGGTAACATGTCATCGCATTGCTATAAGCCCTCCGTGCTACAGATTTGGTACGTATAATAGGTATTCTAAAACTTATTTCGCTTAATAATAATGGCATGTTTTTTATCATAAAAATGAAGTAATAAACACACTCATATTTTTGTTTTCGCCAGTATTAATTTTTAACAATTATAACAAGTATATTTATAAATATTTCAAAACTCGGACCTCCTTTGCTAAACTTTTTTAACAGAATAGCAGAGGCGTTTTTATTGTGGGAAGTTTCATTAAAAAGAAGGTTTTTTAGATTGCCTTTTTCCTCACATTAAAAATTAATGAAAGTAAGCCTCATTTTTAAATTTCAGATTTCTAAGAGTCTGTTATTTTCCAGTGGTCAATTTTGAACTTTTAATTTAGTATTTAAAAAGAAATATTTGAGAAATTGTATTTGTTATAAAAAATAAACAAGAGAGAAAAATAGCAATGCATTTATTAAACAAGTATATTATTTACAATAGTAGTGTAACCCATAGGGACAATTATATTTTTGTGAATTTTGGAACAATTATATTATGTTATTCAGCAACATATATCATAAAAAGCGAGATTTATAAATAAAAATGTGTTTTTAGTTAAGCACTGTTTTAGAGAAACTTGTTAATTTTAATTAATGAATTGAACCACCTTTTTTGAGTGAGTACATTTTAAATTGTTTTATGCTCTCATTTTTGCTACAGTTTTATTATTATTATTATTTTTATTATTTTAATTTTGGAAGTAAATTGTATAACTTTTAACTCCGCCGTAGAACAAAAAGCTCGAAAACTATTGCCATTTCAGAAATTAAAAATTTTGCTTAATTACATTCCATTATTCTTTCCAGATTCCGGTCGAAAACTACACTTGCGCGAAAATGAGCCATTGTCATCCGGATAATTGCCTCCCGCCGGAAGCAAGGAAAACTTGAGATAGCCGTTCAGCTTCGTTCAACCGACATGAACTTGAGTGTCACCGCCACGTCTTTAAACCAAAATTTTCCCGAAGTGACCGCCGTCGAAAACAATACTTTGTTTAATGATAACGACAGTCTACTACCGTCGTACATTCCTTATAACCAAAGACCAGAAACTTATTTCGTTCCAGTACTGTTCTTTTTAATATTGGTGGTCGGTGTCGTCGGCAATGGAACCCTGGTGGTTATTTTTTTGCGACACAGAACGATGAGGAACGTCCCCAATACGTAAGTCCTATTTGGTGCTAATTTTATATTGTGTTCGATTTGGTTATAACAAAATACTTTAACTTTATTGACAGACTGTATTTTAAACTTCAAACTACATTGATTGACCATTCATGAATGGAAAATTATGCCTGCCATTGCTCTATTAGATTTTCCATTACGTATGTCCATAAGTTTGGAGTAAGAATTCGCAGGCTGAATAAATATTTTCAACAAAAGGTTTATTTTGACATCAATCGGAGACTCGTTTCAAATGTTTGGATTGTGCGCGATATGTATATTTTTTTCAGTTCATACATAAGGTTGTTGTTGTTATCAAATTGCCAGTTGGGTGATCACTCTCTGGTATTTTGCTTTCACTTATTGCATCTCAGAACATTTTAAGAAAATATGTGTGCTGCATATTTAATTTGTGAGCTGAGAGAATTTTTCCCATCTACAGTCGCCGACGTTTTGTTTCTTTAGATGGGATATTTACCGTTAATAATCTTCACAAGTGAGTTATAGTTTTCTTTCTCTTTCGTTCCTGTTTATTTCCCAAATTGTTATTGTTTTTGCTTTCAATACAAATGTCAATTATTTTTGAACTCCCAATATTTGAAAAATAGATCAATTAGTACTGGCCTTTTCCAATTTGGGAAAAGAAGCCTAGGTATAGGTTTATTTTTAGATTGGAGTAAGGCCTTTGATTGCCTAGTCCCTTAGTCCATGAAATTTTGTTGGATAAAATGATGAGATATAGTATTGGAGATAAAGCATTCAACCGGATAATATAATTGTTCAATAGAAAGCAGCTTATCATTGTCCATAATGAATAGTTGCGAAACATAACCTCAAAACACCATCGCCTCCCTTGCCCCCCGCGGGGGCCAACCGCTAGGGGGTGCTCTGCCACCGAAGTGGGGCCTCAATCCTTTTAGGGTGTGCTCCGCCCACGATGCATGTGGGCTTTTCCCCCGCGTCCCTGTTGCTTGTGGGGCCCGTTGTAGGAAGTTCCGACGAACATAACCTCAAAAAACCGTGATGATTCACCTTTCTTTTTTTCGCTACCGAGGATTGAACCCGGAATCCGTCCTTTGTTAAACGCCGACTTTTACGAGGGGGGCGGTTGTGTTTTGAGGTTATGTTTCGTCTGAACCCCCTTTAAGGAACTATAATGGAAACAAACCTATGAAATAGGAAATTTTAGAAAATACTGGCTAGAAATTTCTTAACTTTTTTTAAGGATCTAATTTCTAATTTCTAAGTGATTTTATTTTGAATGAAACAAAGTCCACTTATCGTGATTGTTGATTATATAGAGCATAATGTAACATATGTTTATGTGCAAGGTTTATGTAAAAAATAAGTAATCGGCAGGTATATGAAAACGAAAAGCGTTCAGGATTGTCTATTGTGGTAATGTTGAATCTGTTGTATGATACGCAAATAATATTTTGGGATAGTGCTTCTGATATAAAGGAGAACAATAAGATCATTGCAAAAAAAAGAAGAACAAAGACGTTTTTAGAGAAAGGCTTTCGATAACTTGGAAAAGACCTTATTATAAATGCATTAAGATACAATACCGTCTAAAAAATTTTGTGAAATTAATCAACAGAAACTTATTCACTTGAAGAATAGTTTAGATAAATAATTATATGTAATAATCTTTGTTCTCGATATTATTTCGTTTGTACATTTTTGTTTTTGTAAAAATGAATTGAAGTAAAGAAGATTTTGAAACAGATTCAGATACCGGCCTTTCTTATTTTTAAATTGATTGAAATTATTATGAGTGTCATAACTAAACTGAGTACACGAAATGAGACATCTAAGGAGTTGCTTAAATTTGCTTCTGTTGATTTTTTTAGAGAAAGTTCTACATTATATAGGGTATAAATGTAAAACAGCGAAAAATTTCCATATTTTTAGGAAAACTTCAAAAAAATGGTAATCTTGTATAGTTCTTTGTGATATTGGGCTTGGTTGCTATGGAAATATAGCAATTTTGTGAAATTCCGTGTATATTTTATAATTACCGTCGTAAATATCTGCCCCATTAGATTATTTTCTTTATAAATTATTCTTCATTGGCAGTTTTGACGCTACCTTTTAATATCCTTTAAATTTTAAATAAAATCTAAATATCATAAAATGGTTATATAATAGAATGAAATAAATTTATTCTATATTGTGGTACAAGATACATTTAATAGTAAAATCAAAAAAAGTTATATTTAGGACAATTAAATATAAACTAAATATAAGCAGTGCTCTCTTAATTTTTTTATTAGACAGAATTTTTACATATGGGCTTTCTTTAAGTTTGTTTTTCGAAACTAATACAAATTTTCAGAAAAATTTGGAAAAATGTTATTTCGATTGCTTTCAAATCAACCATTTATTCTCGGTGTAATGGAGATCAAAACTTTCTTTGGCGGTGCCATTTATTACTAAATTTTATGCTTAATAACCGATAATGTCTCGACTTAATTGCTCAAACCGCGGGTTAAATGTCATTAAAACCGCATTAACGGGTTGCGACAAATTTAGCTTTTCTGCGTAGATGAGTGTGAGTGACAAGCGCATTAATGTTACAAATAAATTTACAAGTACAAACGTTTATTCAATTTGTCACATCATTCATATTACCATGGTATCTATAAGGGCCTGGCTGCGTACTGTGCCGGAATGATTTATGATCCGGGATAAATTCCAGTGATTAATGGCATAAAATACGGCTCTCTCAATATGTGAAACGTGGAGTTTTTTTCCAATTCAGCGAATAACTTCCGAGATTTTTAAATTAGTTAAAAGGGTGTACCCTATAAGACCTGCTATCCCCTTATCTCCAAATACCTATATTCGGTTCACGAAAAAATTGAAATATTAAATATATAATATATAATTTTATTTAGCTGTTCACTTCACTTCAGTTCATGGTGTTATGTCTAAACGAAAAATAGCAGTTTTGCAAAATATTAAATGTGTCTATACGTTTCTAGCAAACGAAATTATACTCCAAGCCACAAGAAATTAAGATTTGCTTGAAGATAGTAGACAAAAATTCAGTAGAAATGATAAGATATTGTCTTAATTTTTTGTTTACACACCTGCTTAAAGCGTTGTGGAAACAAGAAATAAAGAAAATTTTCAGTGACATGTTCGACAATCTATTAGTATCTCTAAGGTTTATGGGTTAATGAAACCTATTTGTATCTTTTGCTATATCGAGAATGTCGTCGAGTTTTCAAAAGAAATGTAGGGTAGGATAGCAGGATTTGGGCTGCAGGATGCTGCGACCTGGTGATCTTTTGTGGCACGCACGCAAGTATTTACTCCCCCATCAGATTTAGTCTGTGCTCAGATCCTCAAACCTAAGGATTTCGGCAACCAATTTTGAGGACCTGATTCTTCAAACTGCTGGGCAACACGCGCAACTGACACTCGTCAGTGGTGGTCCCTCATTGGAGGGACCAACCTTATGCATATGATATTTGAGGCTGCAGTGTAGCACTTTTCACTTAGGCCAGTAGTTTCCGTCCCTTGCGCCACCAGATTACATATTAGAACTAGTAAATGGATATTCAATAGTTTACTTTATGACTCGTTTACGATGGAGGAAATTTCATAATTAAAAAAAAATATTACCATGAAGCATTATTTATTTCTGAGAACAAACAAATATGTTTTTATGCTATTTGGTAACTCCAAAGAAAGGCAAAATTTTTAAGCAGATTTTCTCAGTTCCATAAGGATTAGAAAAGAAAATTTGCACTTTTAAATGGTTTTAAGCAATGTAGGTCTCCTTAGGGACAAGAGTCTTAGATTTTTAGAACATGTATTAGTACAGGGGTTGCTAATGGAACACAAAAGCTGTAAAGTCACTGTACTATTACATAAAACTAACCTAACATTACTTTAATGCCTGACTGATATTATTTTGAAGCCTAAACTATAGATTTAGTTGATGGTTCTATAATTTATGCATGTTATTGTTTTATGGTTTCTTGGGCTACACACTTTTTATTTGCAATCTTTTATTGTTGGATGTGGTTGGAAAATTATTTTTAAATTAAATTTTTCAGTAATAAATTTTATTCAAAAATTAGTACATTTAATGGGCACTAATAAAATTTACAGAATATATATAACATCGGATCATTCTAAATCTATTTCCAGAGTCACTTCAAAAGATGCCGCCTGTTTTTTATAGTCTCGCAGTGTTTTTCATGACGGTACAGGGGATGATACACAATTATTGCGTAGTGAAATGTCTAATGGTTCAGATACCCAGATACATCATAAAGTGTTGAATATGTGTCTTTTTTTTAAATTCGTTGTTATAAAACTAAGTGATCCTTTTCTGCCCAATAAAAAATAAGTATTAGTTGCTATTTTTATAATTAAAAGATAGGATTGCAGTATAGATAGTTTGAATTTTGTTTGTTGGCTTCACATTTTTTTTTTAATCTTTATTGGAAATTTCAAGTTAATTCCAACTCTTGCATATTCACTAGGATGGTAAAAATTAATGGTTTCGAAATATTGTTGTAATATTAGCTCAACATTTTTGCTGTTAATACTCGTTAAATTTACAAAAAATATATTTGCGGCTTTAAAAAAATAATTTCTCGATCACCAAAGTAATTTGTCGATCACTACATACAAAAGTGACTATTTACCCAACACAACCAGGTTGAAACCAGTATTTTAAACAAATGATAGCCAATTTTAAGTCGTAACTGTTTACATTTTTATATTACATTGAGTGCCGCCTCATGGTGAAGTTTGGATTCAAACAAGTCAACATTGCTGAAAAAATCATATGAAAATGTCAAAATTGGGGAAGATGTCAAAGTTCGTCCGAATTTATTTTTTAATTCTAATTAAGCATTCTTATCAAAAGATAATAATATTTTAAAAACTTCTGCAAAAACGTTTTAATAGAGGATAGAATTAGGCTGAAAATATGTATTCCTGTCTACATTTGTAGGTATATGTTTTGCAGATAAATT